AGAACGTGTATAAATGCACGTTAATTAAGGCTTTTACTGTTAATAAAACGAGGTAAGCCATATTGGACAATTGACTGGAAAAATGCATGTACTTGTGTATAGACACAAAACTCAACTGTGATCGGTCCGTAATACAAATAAACGTCATTTATATGAACTGTTATAAAGCTGTTAATTAATTGGATTTCCATCGAAACATAATTTCTATAGTATATTGTCTTATGTCTAAAAAGCCATAATTTTTGCGGATATATATAATTTATATACTAGTTCATCAATATTATGTTGTAAAAATTATACCGACCTGAACGTTACTTTGATAATTAATCAATCTAATGTATCTGTTTCAAACTTGATATATTGTACAAAATTTGCTAAACAAACTAAATAAGCTTTAGGCGTATATTAGTCACACTTGTTGATTGGGATGGAATCGCGCGAGGTGCTTTACAGTGGGAGACAATCGGAAGTACCGGGAGGAAATCGGGAGTACCAGGAGGCAATCGGGAGTACCGGGAGGAAATCAGGAGTACCAGGAGGAAATCGAAGTACCGGGAGGAAATCGGGAGTACCGTGAGGAAATCGGGTGTACCGGGAGGAAATCGGGAGTACCGGGAGGAAATCGGGTGTACCGGGAGGAAATCGGGAGTACCAGAAGGAAATCGGGAGTACCGGGAGGAAATCGGGTGCCGTCGATTTAGCGACCCAATGGGTTTTTTCACGTCCGTTCGGGGTCGTCTAAGTCAGAGATTTGACCAGTTGGTATAATTTTGATAAACGGGTTTACTGGTAAAGAATTACATCAAATGACAAACATTGTCTGGTATTAAATGTAGATTTATCAATATAAATAACTTGTCTATTTTAAGCGCATTTATATATCAAATGTATCATCTTATGAACATTGACAGTTGCTTTTCGCTGAAATATTCACATAAAGAAGTTGATTAATTATTATGAAAAACATGTTGTTCAACAGCTAAGGATTTCGGAAATCCTTATCTGTTGTTCAACAGTCTGAATATGTAATTTTTTTCCGTCATATATGATAACGCATTCGCACAAACCACAATCGCCTTTAAACAAAATGGCTTCCAGCCTGAATTGGTCGAGACAGTATTGACGATTAATGTCTCTAATTTCGTTATTTGGAAATGACTTGAGTTATCAAATAACATATGCCACACCTATCACAAAATCCGGTGCTGAAGAAGAACGCTCGCTGTCATTTCTTCCCGCCATCATGTATTCGTGTTTACAAAATAAATTGTCTCGTTTTCAAAGCTATTATGTGATGTTTTTTTTAAATTTGAAAGGGGTTTTCCGAATCAGAGATGGTCAAGCTGGACATTTGGAATCAATTGTGAATATCGGGATATGATAGAAACGTAATTGGAAATATTAAAAAAAACCACTCGTACAATCAATAAGGAAATCGATATTTTTACCGTGATGTTCCTTTAACCAATGTGTAGAGAGAAAATTACGTTCTTACAACTCACAGATCTAGCCGCCGAGTGTAGTGTGTTTGTTAATCGCAGTTAAGTTCGCGTGTCCCCAAACTTTTTACCTGTCATAGTACGATTGAAAAAAGATCCGTCACAGGTAAAACGTGTTCGTCAACAATCTGTATACTTAATATAATACTAGATATAGAATACAATGTAGTCCGCAGGTACATGTCACAGTATGATTCATTTATCACAAGGAAAACCTAAACACGTTGACCTCATTACGTAACAATGATGTATATTACCGGGGAAATGTTTAATCATTATTTAATTGCGTTGGAAAATCCGGGTTTTAAACAAAACATCTAACAACATGCAGGTTTTCACAAATACTGCAAATTAATTTCAAAATAATTACAATTTAATATAACTGCTAGCATCCTTATAAAAAACAAAAACAAAACAAAACGAAAAAAAAAAAAAAAAAAAAAAAAAAACCAGAAAATAAAAACGCAAAGCAAAAAAAAAAAAAAAAAAAATCAGTTTCCGAGGAGTTTTTTTTTCTCCAGCTTTTGGTGGATATTTAAGAAATTTGGATATTTGTAGTGTAAGTTGACTACGCCATTTCCAGGGATAATGTTGCCAGAGTTTGTGAGAAAATAGGACATTTCAACTTTAATAAGTATAGCTCTTTAGTGACCCAATGGTGTGGAGACCGATCCTTATTTTGAATATATTTTTGTTCGAGGCTGAAAAGATTTGAGACGTGCTTCCGTGTCAGTTTTAAGTGGCGGTTTTTCCGTGCTCGTGGCAAACTATGTATATCCGTTCATGTATTACAACCACACTCATTACACGTCACCAGTTATTTCTAGCACCTCTGAACATCTCATTTTAATTTTCCAAGAAAGGCACATAAACATAGCTCCTAATGTTTAAACATGACATTTAAGTAAAACGAAAAATCTCGGCTAATGTACTGATGATATGTTAAATAGTCTAAATAATTATGTATCGCTACATCTCAGTAAAAAAGGACTGAATATTATAACTCTCCGTTTTGAGAATATCAGCGTATTAAACTTAAAATGCATGAGCTAAATATAAAAATTCCATTGATGTACATATTTCCTTTACATTTTCAAATATTTAAACATTGGCCTACCAATACACATGGTATTATATTTGTATTTTCGTTCATCTGTTAGTGGTGTCTCATGATTTCTTGAAATGATAAATAACATGAACAGAAAATAAAACGGCGACAAATATTGTAACAAAAGACACACATTCAAAATAAGATACAGTAGAGCCGAACAATGAATTTAATCAATCACACAGCTGTTTGCTCATTTTAGGATTCGGCAGTGATACAACTTGCATACAGTTTGAATTCTAAGGGGCGAAAGAGAAAAATCCAAAGCAGTCAAAATCTAGAAAGAAAGGTGCACTAGCCCTATTATTAAGTAAATTTCCTAATTTTCCTAGGTGGTATATACAGTTTCGTTGTCACAACCTCATTGATGTTATAAAAATTTAGAAACTTTGACGTTACTTGGATTGATATGGTAAGTGTTTTCCCAAAGTTGATGTTATTTTCTTGTATTTTTTTCTCAGTTGCATTAAAAACTTTTTTTTTTAATACATTTTTGCCATATTTTACATTCTGTTTACGATAGACGAAAATGGCCTCTTCATCTATTTACAGGCAGTAGGTTGATCACGAAACTTTTGACGGAGACACATGCAGAGAAAGTACTTGGTTCAGTAATAAAGAATTGTTAGGTCATTAATCATAGGATATTGAACTTCATTTTTTTAAAACCAAATCCAAATTTCATTTGAATATTATTCTTCAAGCTTTATGCAAGTTTAAACACAGAGAAAACACAAGAAAATAATACAAAACGTACGAATAAAGTTCTTAGCAAAATCAATATCATGAGGTTAAATCTTAGATATTTTCCATTTCAACTGAAATTAATAACACAAATTTATTATATTTCAACTGTGTTTGATTTAACCGCATGTATGGCATGTGGGTTTTCTAAAATGCAGACCTTTCAACAAGTATCAAATAAATATAACGTTAACTTCTATGGGTGCCTGATTTGACATGAAGAAATCTATGGGATATTAGTGCGAGTTAACTATAAGCTTTTATTAGTATGCTTATTAATAATCAAATATGTACTTGACGTTCTACGTAAATTATGTGACATAACGAAAGGCACTAAGTTTATGGGGTTATTAAGCTAGTGCATCTCCAAATCTAGATTCTGATATTACTATCTATCAGATTTGATTTTTCCCAGTCGTATCCTAGGCTTAAGACGTTAGGGCCATATCATCACTGACGAGTCTTAGGAGGAAGACACGTGTATAATGCAGTTTATTCATTGTGTGGGTTGATCTATCTAACGTGGCGAATCTAAATCTTAATTTTTATTTAGAAAGTGTTATTTTACCTGTGTATCTTTTGTACAATCTTTCCTAACTTCCTGGTTTCACTACCGATTTTTAAGATTTTGATTGCGGTGTGGCAAAAACACAGCACGACAGATACACAGATGATGTATGTTATATAAGTGTACATACGTTTGTGTGTATATACAATATGTGTTGATATAACTTATACATAAGTTATGCTGACGTGTCAGCAGAAAACGCCAAGCCTTCCAATCTGACGAGAAAACGATCTGATAAAGCCTCAGGTGAAAACTACACTGCGATGAGTTTGCTTTTTGTGCACATTTTTGTTTGCACTTTGTCAAATGATATATATAATTGGTCAGTGAGACTAGAATTGATTTATATAGTAAATCGAAAATAAATACTGTCCGTCACGGTTGCTCGTTTATATAGATTTACTATGTTCATACTGTAAAGCCGGTCATTCTTGTGGTGATTTTATTTTCGCGGATTTGTTTGTTTTTCTATAATATAATGTAAATGAGTGACATCACAGAAAAGAAAAAAAATCAAAATGTATTTTAATATATTGTTGACGACCGATGTAAATGAAACAAATGTTATATTTTACATGCTGTTTATATTGTTGCTTTGTTATTTAGTAAGAGTCAGATTGCAAGAAAAGTTAGTCTGAACCGATTCCTAGAGGTTTGATAATTCACCAACTATTTGGATTTTGTACCTGCTAGTTGGCATTTTATCAAACAAAGTATACAGAATCTGCCTTGTTTCATGATGGTAAACAGTTTCATTAGGTGGGATTGAAACACGACCAAAATGTCCCTTATTTAATTACTGTGAAACACTTTAAAAACAGTAATAAGTGATTATACTTTTGTTATTTCACAGTTATGCAATGTGGATTCGCCTTTCTAGAAGCTGGTGCGGTTAGGAGCAAGAATACAACAAACATTTTGATAAAAAATGTCATGGACTCATGTAAGTGCCTTATATACGGTAGCATTACTCAAAAGATTCCCAGACTCTGTAATGCCTGTATTGTGCAAGTATTTGTTGACTGATAAAATACCAGAAATCATGATAGCTCTGTAGTTAGCGCGTTGTTATAGCAACCTCAGATGAATATCCGACATGCGTAGTCCGACACTTCCTACTTGTAGCGAATTATATTTTCAATGAAGCTGAGGAACGGAACGCTTTTTGTCTCTGGGCGAGACACTTTACCTGAATTGCTCTGAATGGATGACATGTGACGGGCCTCCCGTACACGTTTCAGTGAAGTAGAATCAAGCTACCATACAGAGACCCGTTTTAAAATGGCACTGGCTGTTCATCGGGTAATAAACTTACCAGACTGATTAAGTTCCTTCCTCGATTATTTCTGTTTTTTTTTTTAAATTATACAGCCGTTCCAGAAACCTTATTGCAATATCTAATCAGGCGAACTTCACATGATATACATATTTGTATATTGTGAAGAAAAAGATAGAAATGAATAGTGACATTGCTTAACTTAGTATTTCAGATACGGTTCAAAATTTGTTCATCGAGTTGTATTTACTTTTGGCTATAAAACTTGCTAGAGCGTCAGATTGATTCAGCGTATACACCAGATACAAATACGTTTTGTAATCAATGAAACGAACCATTGTACTTGTACTTTTAATGTAAATAGTTTGTCATTAGCAGACATACTGGCATGACAAGCTTGGTGCATTTGTCCATGCTAAACTAACTCTTTCTATATATTTTTTTTGGTATCCAATTTCGTTAGATAAAAAATTGATTCTAAATACATTTCATATACTTGATAGTATTGATGTTGATAAATCTTAACTCTACTTTGTATGATATGCTTCAATAAAATCTTAATTTAAATTCAAATACGACGAAACAAAGGAGTAGATATGAACAGTTTAAACTGGTACCATAGAAAAAGACTAATATCAGGAGGGATATGCTTCTTTGTCTTTCTGACGACTCATATAAATGTTGGTCTTTTAAGTTTTCAGAATTTTCGTAAGCTCTCTTATATATGCAGTCTCGAATGAAAAGTACGTATGATCTGTTATAGGTCAAAGTCAACAAAGATATTATAATGAAAACCAGAAATACGTCATTTTCCCCATTTTATTTCGCTGTTTTGAGTTCTTTAAAATTAGCATTCATTAATTTCACTTCCACATTAGTATTGAAGCCCTGATTTGAGAGCACTAAGAATGGCAGTTAGAAGCTAAGCTATAGGTTTGGTTGAACAACTAGAGGAGTCAGTGATAAAAAGTTGCTCTTCATTCTTGTGAAATTCAGTATAAATTAGAAAGGTCCTTTATCCCAATCATCTATTGGCAGTCTGTATGATTAAAATACTTATGCAGAATTAACCCTTGTTATGCTTTTCGAAAGAAAGCCGGAATTTTTAACATGCGTGATTTATTTAACGGCGCTTGATTCACCATCAATCTTTTTTGTTTTTGTTTTTTTTTGTTACAGTTGTCTCGGGAGCGTCTTACTGGGTCTTTGGTTTTGCCTTCGCTTACGGAGACGGTGGGATGGCGAATAAGTTTATTGGAGCATCGTATTTTGCATCATATGATCTTCCGGATGCAAAATATGCCGAGTTTTTCTTCCAGTATACATTCGCTGCCACTGCAGCCACCATTGTCTCCGGTGCTATGGCCGAGAGGTGTGAATTTGTAGCCTATTTTGCCTATAGCTTCTGTATAACAGGTAAGAACATCCAACACGTTACCTAAATCATAATAATGATCTCATTTCCTTGGGATGGCAGAAGCGTTTTACCTAGTACATTTTGTCTTTCTGAATGTGAATTACAGATAATATCAATCTAATACATGTAGAATGATATCTTACTGCAACAGTAACACTGAGAAAGCACAAAACTTCATGAAATATGGATTAAATATTTTGCAGTTTTCAAATTTACTTTAACAACAGAAAAATGTCCCTGTTCATGGTCAGGATAGCTATTTTTAAGCATGTCTATAATTGTTTGTCTCCCGTTTTAGTTCGATGTCTATTTCTGTTCTGGAGTATGCTAAGCTCCTGTACTAGTTTTTCAGTATTTGGTTTTCTTTTCTTTTCCTATTGTCTGTTCTATACGTTAATTGTGTTGTAGGAGACAAAAACTCTATGTTGAGCTTGTAGTAATGATACATATTCATATTTGATAAATACATATTGTATCTAGAATAGAAGTTCTGAAAATACAACGAATAGAAGACTCAATTATTCTGCTGGTTATTTTCTGTTTACATTACCAAATCGAAGAAAAAAATCTGAAACGTACAGTATCTCGAGTGTTTTGCATATTTTCAGGGTTTATCTATCCCGTGGTAACACATTGGGCATGGGGAGGTGGCTGGCTCTCCGAGGGTTATGAATACGACAGTTTTGGAACAATTGCTTATCAGGTACCTATTGTGTCCAAATAAGAGAAGTATCCGTTTCTTTGTATTGCAATAAGACACTAAAGATGTTCAGTACCAATTGATATCGCCAAAACATTACTGTGATGGCGAAATGAATTCATTTTTCTCAATCTTAACATGAACATAGAAATCCACCTTTTTTGACAACATCTCATTATTAGGAAATGATGTGTTTAAGGATTTTGCCGGAAGCGGTATTGTGCATGTGCTTGGGGGCGTAGCGGCATTTGTCGGGGCTGCCCTACTGGGGCCACGAACAGGAAGGTTCCATGGAGGACAGGTGGCACAACTCAGAGGACACTCAGTACCCGTGAGTAATCACATGACCATTACAGAATGATACCGTACTCAAATCATGTAAATTCTGAAATGGTGATTTGGCTTGGAATAATCTTTATGTGAATTGCTAATTTAAATAATTTTTTAAAACAGATATATTATGTCTTTGGGTATCAAAGATTGTATAAAAGACACAAAAGAGAATTGCACATTCGTATACAATTTAGAGTTAGTTGCAACAGACCCAAATAATGAATGAATTATAAATATTGTGTTCTGATAGTACATGATATTATTAGCTGATTCCAAGATTATAAACTAGCGGTCTATCTCTGTATTTCTATCGAAATTGTTTTATCTATCAACATATTCAAATCATTTGTACACACAATATCACAACAGCTGTTTGATGTTCATTCTGTCATCTCCCAGATTGCTGCTCTTGGTGGATTCATCCTGTTTTTTGGGTTTCTGGCTTTTAATGGCGGTTCACAGCTGGCTATCAGTAACCCAGGTGACGGCGAGGCAGTTGCCCTTTCTATCGTTAATACCATAGTATCTGCATCATTTGCTGCCTTCGGTTCCCTGCTTATTAATCGCATCCCCGGTCTTGGTAACAGCTGGAGTCTGCTCGTCACAATAAATGGAGCGCTTACGGGTATGGTAAGTGATACTATGAATGAATATTTTGTCCATGAATTATAAATTGTAAGCAACAACGGTTTAAAATCCTGCTATAGACGTACTTATACTCAAATAAACCTACCAGGAAAGAAAGCATTAACAATGGAACATCGATATGGGGACAATTAAAGATCTACAAGAACAACAAAAATACCGACATGTCAACAGAATTTTAATTCAAATTAAATTTTGATGAAACAATGACAAAAATCAACAAAGTGAATATTTACACGGAGAACCACATAACATTGAAAATCAGACCAGCTGTTCAGACGACATTCGTTATGAAAGTATCATTCAATTTAAAGAGGTAGTGTTATGTTCCCAACTGAGACAAAAAAAAACCAACAACAACGGAACCATGATGAAGAAGAAACAATGAGCAAGTGTTCTGGAAATGAAAGTATCGTTAGCTTCATCGACGCATTCGGTAATCATGTTTAACTCAGGTTAGATTAGACACGGGGTAACAACAACAAATTTTCTTTTGGTTTACTAAACTTAGTTTCATATCACATAACGAAATAAGATGAGTTCACATTTTCTTCATCAGCTTGTCTTTGTTCGATACCAAATATTTCCAAATTGAAAGTTTTACATCCAGATTCATCTCCGAAACAAATTGAAAGTTCCATTCTATCAATTAGATATGACAAAAACAATTCATTAATACTTTTCCCATGATATCGTCGATTACAGGTTGCTGCTTGCGCAGGTTGTAACAGTATGTACCCATGGGGAGCATGTATATTAGGAATTTTTGCCTCAATTTCGTACACACTTTGGTCTTGGCTAATGAAGAAGATGCGGATAGACGACCCTCTGGACGCTGTTGCTGGTAAATGTTTTGACTGTGATGAAATATCAATTAATATTAATTAGCTTTTTCGTGTCTATAACAGCAAAATGTCAAATTTGACATTGCTTCCGAATTCCACTGATTTGTTTTTTCCGAATGAATATTGATTTGTTCTGACAACTTGCCCAGTCAATTAATCAACTACGATTCAATAACACAAGCATTCAAAGAAAAATGACGAAAGAGTTACTATTTTCATACTGTGAACTCATTTATTTGTTGGGAGCTCAGAGGTTTTCGTTAATATTCGTTGGCACCTAATTTCGTGGTTTAACAGTACTCGCAAAATTCACCAATTCATCTGATATTTTTTACTATGTAATTTGTTATCGACAGTCTGTGAAGCGAAGTTATCCACGAAAAACAGAAAATAAAACTCTCATGCCTGTTCATGATTTTAGTATATGAAACAGTTAAGCTCATTTCAATAATTTTATATTGAATACAGATGACATACAGCTTGACTGTCGTTTAATTTCAGTTCATTTTGGAGGAGGTCTGTGGGGAGTCATTGGCATTGCATTTCTTGATAGAGAAGATGGAATCTTGATGAGATGGGATCAACGGTCTGGATACGTAAGTATGCAGTGTGGTGCTACTTATCAATCAGCATTTAGGCTCGGGACAGAAAGATTTCTTTGGATTGCAATAATAAATAATAAATGTTGCTGGCATGAAAATTAATACATAAACAACTCCAAAGTGTCTTTGATGTAACCACATCATCAGGATATAAATAATCAAAGTCATTTCCAAGGTCCGGTATATATCACGTGCTCTTCCCATGGGGCGAATTCCGAAAGGGCGTGACTAATCAGAACGTCTCTTTCAAAATTTTGTAATGTGCTGTGTGGGAGGAATGCGGATGTTATAATACACGTTTATATTTAACTGTCTGAATTTTTATTGCCAATTACTACAACACGCATTTCAGTTGGTAGCTCCATATTTGCGTATATCCGGCTTTCTGGTATAATTTGAAATCCATTCATTTAAACAGACATAAAAAATGCATTTAAAGTGACAACTAACGTCTTACATAGAACGTGTTTAATTTCAATATGAAGTTTATCAAACGGTTCACAAAGTTTATTTTAAACGGCAAATTCAAATACAAATTTAGAGTTAGAATGGAGCTAAGAAATGATTTTTAACTGCATTATACAGAATGTTTATCAGTTGTCTTTACATAAACAGAAACTACTGTGGCAGCTGTGTGGTCTAGGGGTGATTATCGGCTGGACGGCGTTTTTCAGCCTCTTGTTGTTTGGCTTCCTCAAGGTGTTCGGTTTACTACGTGTTCCACTGGAAATTGAAGAGAAGGGCAAGTATTTCTCAGCAAACTGACTTGGACAATACACACTCACGAGACAAAATCTTATATCTGCTGTTTAATTCAATTCAGTCTTAATGCTGAAAATCAAAGATATAACATTTTTTACTGTCGGCCAAGCTTTGTCAAAAAAAAATTGATATCATCGGTCGATATTTAGTCAATAAAAACAAGTTATCTAACCCCATACGAAGCCACAGAGCCTTGTTTTTATTGTTCCCTTTTCTTCTTCTTAGGTGATAATTGCAAAACATAAACCACAGAGATCATCCCCTATTTTAATCATGAAGAGTATTCCAAACATAAAACACTTCAATAAAGAAATTATATCATTTTGGAACATTTCCATTTTCGTTTGCTATGCAGTTTTAATGAAAGACGAACATTTAATCTAGGAACGATTGCTGCGAAAATATCAGAAAATGTGTTATTCAGAATGAAGGAAGAATTGCATGAGAAAGTGAGTTCCTGATATATATAGTTTGACACCTGCATCGAGAAAAGGAGTGCATCAACTTAATGTGTTTTTGCTTTTAATTTACTTTCTGAAACTAAACCTTTCAAAAACATCATCAGAAAAAAGTTTAAAACTGGACTTATTTTACTTCCCAAAGGACTAGATCCTGAAACTATATATTGCAATCGCATTTTTTCTCACATGATGATTTCTATTTTCTTAATTGCATTTTGTTTTGTATCCTTTTATATTATACTATATTTCTTTGATAGCATTTCCCGATCAACATGGATCAATCAGGACTGATTTTTTTCAACCATTATGATTACAGGACTAGACATTCCGAAACACGGTGAACCTGCCTACCCAGCAGACGCATATGGTCACGGTCATGTGGAGCATATCATGCAGGTCGTGCAGAACAAACCCACCAGCGTCGTGCAATGTAAGTAGAGTACCTTAGAGTATAGAAGGAACTTACAAACAAACAAAGTTAACTTTATAGAGGAAATATATATATAGTGAAATAAGCTTGACTATATTATTTTCTATTTATAAAGCATCACAAAAATAAGGAAGTATTAAAATTATTTTGCTCGTACCAGTTATAAATATATACACGCACATGAATGAGCCTTTATATTGATAATGATAGTGTATACATTATAAAGCATCGAAAATACCTCAATTACTCAATTATAGCGTCCAAATGTATGTTTGTTCAGATTAGCATAGGACCAACTTCTATGCTAATGCACATGTTCCAAATTTACAGCATTCAAAACAAAGAAAGTTAGTGTTATGACTTTATTAGGAAGTGGCATAAGTGTGAGAAAGTTCTAAGTATATACAAATATATGCTGTACGTACCGTACTATACATTATCGAGAAGAGGGGGGTTATGCCTGCGTGGAAAATATGTTTGGTAGGGGATAACAATGGTAGTGGATTGGTTTTATAAGTGGAAGTATATCAGAGATTAAAACGTTATTAATTACTTTTTAACAGTCAGAATAAAGAATGCACTGTTAGAGCTAATTAAAGATCATAAAAATAAACTAAAATAAAAGCTGAAAAATAAATCTTTATCTCGAAAATACTCCTCTGGTCCTGAACGAAACCTTTTTCAGCAACAGTATCTGGTTACGAGTATAATGGTTTCAACGTTAATATAACAACTTTTATTTATCAAAATGCATCAAGCGGTGTTTAAAAATGTAGTTTAAATGTTTTCAGGAGTCTCCGTGTTATCGTCTTTCTTTTTTCATATTTCGTCCTAATTCAATCGAATCAAAGTTTGGCTTAATATTCTGTTAACATGTCGGTATTTTCTTCGTTACTTCAAAAATTATTTTCAGTTGATTCTTGTTGTTTAAAATGTATTTTGAAAAAGAGGCTAGAAATGTAAATGAATATCAAATTATAAATATGAATTTTTGCATGGTTTAATGGTTGCAGAATATAAGGACTTTAACAAAGGATCTTGTGCTACTACCTGAATCTTAAACTGATTCAAAAATAAGTATGACATAATTCACCACTGTCCATTAGCTATCTAGAAAAGATTCGAAAATCACGGGAATGACCACAGTATATAGTTCTATTATGCTTCTTACGTGTCGACTGGCAATTGTATCTTTCCTTGTACACAACAAGAGATGGATTATTCTACTAATTTTAGATGTAACTATTGGGAACACGCGTTATAAGTTATCGATTATGGTTAAGGAAAATGAGCACACACACACACACACATATATATATATATACATCTTGAATTTTCATTTCCTTTGAAGGGTTAATTTGCTTTCTCAGACCTTTGAAATTACAATTGTCAAAATCAAATAAAAAAAGTTTATTCATGTTTAAATACTTTTATTTTCAAATCTAGATTTCGGATTTGATAGCCACAATAAGACATTAGAATCAGATCTAGAAGTATTCAGTAAGTAAATGTCAGGTTATAGGCTATGCTCTGGTGTTCATGGAATATGGTCACATCTATCGTTTTACTATGCCATGGTGTTGTATTGATGTTTGAACGTTCACTATGAAGGATTACTTTTCGGTTGCCTCTGCTTTCGTGTGTTTTTCTATATTATTACTCTTTTTATTGCTATTTATTATCTTTAGTAGCTTCTTCTCTGCAGAAAAGCATTTCATATAAACCCATCTTCTCATGGTTACTGTATATCCCTCATATAATGGTTTACAGGTGGTGTATTAGTGAGGTACAAACTATATAGTAATGATAAAGTAGACATGACAACAACTATTCATTATCGTGTGTACAATTATTCAAATACATTATGCTAATTAATCATAAAAACTTAGACATTGTATAAGTTACCAAAACATCTAAAAATAACCGATATGACAAGAAAATCAACACGAAAGAAAATGAAAGAAAACGCTTAAGGAGAATTTTAAAATAACAAGGAAATACCAACATATCATCATAATAATTATCCAAACTCAAATTCAATAAAATAGGTCAAAATATGAACAAAAGAAAGATTTACAGGGAGTCTCCTGAATAAGTACAAGTTGAGAAAAGGTCGGGCATTCCGGAAGAGCAAGCATCTTCTTGTTAATCAACGACAGCCGCCATGTAAATCCAATTTAATTTGTCAGTCCAATTAAGTAATGTCACGTTCGCAAATGAAAACAAGGTATAATACAATGGAACCGACAGGCAGACTAATGAGCATCAAACACGTCCAGATTCATATCGCACAAAGAAACAAAATAGTTCTCAATGATAACCCAATGACGACCGTAAAATCTTCCCCATAATTTCTATCAATCAGCAGCTTTTGAAACCCCATGTTTTTTCTGTAAGTTGACGACTTCTTACACGAAAATCATAATAACGCGAACAAGCCCCTGAATAGTGAATCAACTGCGATAGGTAAACATCATAGGTTTGTGATGCAGAGGTGTTGCTATCCAGAAATGGAAAATTCACCACAGGAAAATTGAAATCAAAACTCTTACACAGCTTGGTGGAAATCTGTCATTGTTGGTTTCGCTGTAGGAAAAGATCTAGCTTTGCGGCTAACGTCGAGAAGTCCATCGTGTCCTAGATTTCTAATTCTAGTGGGTATATACGATGAGCATAGTCATTCATTTCTTTTGATTTAAAGACAAAACGTCATCGATATATCTGCAAGTGAAAGTGAACGACGAGGTCTGAGTGACATTTTTGATAAGTACTTCGAAAAATTCAGTGTCTTAAACAAACAAAAACATTTTCATATGAATGAATCTCGTTGTCTTGAGTATGTTGGCCAGTTCATCATCTGTGAAATTATTAAAATGCTGGTAATTTTCCTTGAGTGACGCATATGTCTAAAACTTATCAATGACCCCCTTTCATAGAACATTGGCGGTTGCAGCTTACGGTGTGATTTTGAACAAGTCTTTCCACACGTCTCCTTCCTTACATTTCCACAGTTCTCATAGTATGTTTGACGATGTTTATTGGAATTCGTGGAAACATTCTTCACAGCACTTGAATTATCTATTAGACATATTTGGTATCATGACTTTGTTAAATTGAGTTATGTCCCTTGCAATACATCCAATACAAATTGGCGCATAATCTATTTATATTTGACCTCATTTTACGTAATGTTTTATTTTTCATCACATGATTCTGTGGTTGTATCTCACTTTCACCTGTCCATTAATTTAATAAAAAAAGAATTCATTTAAAAGTTAAAGGCCGATTCAAATGTTAGTGTAATATTATCTCTTGGTGATTTTTTTCTGTTTATATGTAAAAATATGTCATCATATTACATGTAATACGCTCCTCTTATAAGCATTGCATGACACACTTGTTATCAGATTATTGTGAAATCAGATGCTTATTGTGGAAAAATCATAAACAAACAAACAAAAAACCCTAAAAAACAAAAACTAAAATAAAAAAGAATGTTCGAGTGCCAACATGATTGTCTATAACGAAATGAATTTTGAGGATTTTCGAATTTTTCCAGATTATGTTTGACGCTGCATGAATATGATATCAAAGCAAGTTGCAAATATGATTTATGCAATTTCGTGTAAATCTCTCTCACCGAAACGGTCGACACTGCTACAAATTTCACTGTGTGCTTGATATCATTAATGGTAACGTTAAGTTAGATAAGCTGGCAGCCATGTGCAGTTATTAATGATAAACATAAACAACTAGAAAGTATTCTTAAACGAAATATATTGCTTCTTTTATTGAACACCTGTACTTGACGTTCTTTTGAAATGATTTGATATTGAAAATTAAGGAATTAAGTTTCGTGAATAATACACCTCTCTGTTTGGTTTTTAGCATTCATTTCTACTAATTTGGGCCTTTCTCTGTCGCCTCATATGTTTTAGCATTTTAGGTCCCTAACATCACTGACGAGTCTTGCTAGGTGAAATAGCTGTATCACGTTTTGCTTCATTATTTGGCTCTGTTGTATTTAATTTTAAACTTGTGTTGTAAGATGTGTGTTTTAGACAAGTTTAAAGACAATTTTCGTTTATCCTTAGGCATTTGTTATTCAACTACATTATGTTCACGCCTGAAATAAAGTATTTTTGAGGTGAAATCTGTTTCGCAGTGTGATAAAACTATCTGAAATGTTTGCAGTTCTCCAATTTAATAGTGTGATCAACAGGTATTCTCAGAAAGTACAGTGGATAAGCATTACATTGTATAGACAAGAGAATCTATAGATTGAATATCATATAAGGAGCATATTTGTAAAAATGAAAACCATAATGAATATTTCATATATCTCTAAGTCAGAATGACAATGATAATAATATACATGAAAAATAAACTTCTCTATCGTTGGAGTCCTAATACCTTGATTCAATTATAAAATAAACGTACAATCAATCTAAAAATCCTCAAAATTTATTTTAGCATATGAAAACCAGGCGTTCGAAAACCAGGCTTACCAAAGGAGAGTGTCTGGCAGTGGTCCCTACGAACATCCCGAAATCAGGGCATTGAAGAAAAATGGCATGACGGTGACTGTCCTTGGCTCAGAGGGAAATGGGATAAGGCCTTCGGGACTACAGGGGAGTCCTAGACCGGAAACAGTGCTGGAGGAACCGGAACCGGAATCTGTGAACAACAATGGAACAAATGATTCTGACCGGTACTTTGTATCTCAATTTTAGGTTTAATTGGTAGCATTACCTTTCATCTGTATTGTTGCCAGTAGGGAAAATTTTCACTATAGGATATGATTACCGAGAGATGTCCACTAAAGATATCACATACCAATGTTTGTTACTTATACAAAGATATTATTATTATATATCTATTTCTTTTATTTTCTTAATGTTATCGTAAATATATCTGTGAACTGTACAGAAGGATGCTTGCCCTCTGTATCAGTAATTATATATTCACGTTAACTTCTTGAACAAGGATATGTTTGTTTAGTGAAATCACATGCACATAACTATATCATTAACCCAAATATTTTATATATTTAAACATTGATCTGATTTAAAGCTATATTTTCATTGTGGTAAAATTGAGATAAATGTACTTGCGGATGATGTAAATTTACTTTCGGATGATGTATTAAGTCACTATGACTGGTAATTAACTTTTAATTGTCTGAAGCGAACATGTGGGCATGTAAACGATTCTAAAAATATTTAAATTATATGGGCATGGCTGAAACACTGAGTTCAAAGGTTTGTCGTAATTTTAGAGGTTTTCATTTCATATATGTTTTCAACCGTATTCATATGTATGTTATTTTCTGGGTCAATGTTAATTACTCCTATTTAGACACCATATACCCTGCAAATTTTCAGTTAACTTTGAATATGGGAATTATTATGAAAATTTATGTACTTTGCGTAAACGTATAACAAATTGTTTTAAATCTATATGGATTTCCCTTTCCACGCTTTTGAGATAATTGACAAGATACTATATCATGTCGCAAAAGTTCAAAATATATTTACTATCGCCCTCAAGAATCTCGAGGTCGCATATCGGTATGTTGTACTGGCCGTGAAGTTGGGTATCACTCCTTTGTAATCTTCAAAGGAGTTTATCAGTCTGTAATTGGTCAGATTTTTCTACTGAAACCCGCAATAGACCAATCAAATTACTTCGGTTGTGCCATGAAAAGTTGTAGGGGTGCAGAAAGTAACAGTTATTATAAACCTAGAATATCAATGATTTTAGAAGTGTCATTATCAGAAATAGGGTTTAACTTTTATATTAAATCACTAAAGAGTTCGGTGGCAACGTGATGTTAAATCGTTTGATGTTACAGATCAGCTGTCTCCATTTTACAGCTTTATTGTTTTGTATCCATTGAAATATCAATGTAAATGTCTCGTGTACCGAATTTTGTTATTTCTTTAAAATGGTGTTACAACAATTTGTATCATCATGAGCTATCAAAGTTTTAAACTCAAAGCTCTAAAATGTTTTGAAATAATGCAAGTGAATCAAAGCAAGCTATTCGCTGAATATAGACTATATGGTCAGAACCCTGCAATATGTTACTAAGCGTACGTCCATTTAAATTGTGTTTAATACTGGAGACTATATTTGTATCCGTTCTGGTATTTGGTCCGTACGTTCGAAAAATAAAAAGTTGTTTTTACTGCAAAGTATTTTTTGTTGTATTTGCGTATAACTTCAATGTGAACTGTGTTATTTATGTTGGTTAGTGTATTTTGTGTGTTGTATTTTTTATTGTTATGTTATTTGGTAGAGTTATATGTGACCATTTCATCGTTAAGGGTATTGATATAGTCTAGTGTATAGGTTTTTCAGTTTTCGGTATATATGTAGTATGTGTAACGTTCAAATGTGTATGTTTTGTTTTTGTTTGGTTTTATTTATAAGATTGGACAAAACCTTGTACGTGGTCGGTAGCAAACTAAAGCAGAGGTAATATCCTTTGTACTTTCCGTCGAAGAACTGTACATTTAACGAGCAATACCCGAATGCTTATCATGAATATGTGCATTATTCAGAGGATAAACAGGTATGATGGATTTAGAGGAACGATTGGCCATATCGAAAAAAAATCTAAAATAAATAACTTCTTCCAGGTCCTCCTCAACATTGTGTAATAACTGACTAGTTACTGATAAGTGTCCATCCTTTCTGGACAGTGGTCAAATAGAACCACTCTTTTTGCTATCGCTATTGAACTTGATCATCACCGGAAAGCGAAGATGTTCTATCGACCTGTATCATCAATCTGGGTACATATTACTAACCAATGCACTAACAGAACAGCTGTTTGATAACGAATTTACCCAAACAAGAAACTAGATGGATAACATATTAGTTGATTCGTTTAAAAAGTTTGGCTTCGTGACAATCGTTTGATTATAAATTACAAGAGTTTGTAGGCCTATGATTGGGATAGTAACAGAATCGCTATTAGAAAGGTGCAATGAAACCGTTATCTATATATATAAACAAATTCGTGGATGTCCATTGCAATATTTTGATATATTAGCCGACACGTGTTCAACTAGCCTCAAATATCGCGATTTTAGTGATGCATGTTGACAGCCACATGACAGATAAATTCGCGACACAGGGATTCGGGAGATGAAGAGATGAAGGTCAATGAAGACTTGAGAGTCAAGAGTTGCCACCAAGATTTCTTTCGGGGATTATTTTTTTCTTCATGCGATATAGATATGTTCGATGTTTGTAGTTTTTCTCTATTAAGATCACAATGTGTCGGATTGACACAGCTTTACAAAGGGCGATTACTTGATTATTATACCTTTTCAATATTTTCGATTAGATAATTCCTTTGGTTGCACTTTTACCCATATTCATGGACTTTGATTTGGAATTGATATTTTGTAGACGTGTCAGGTTTCAATGTTTTTTTACTGCTGTAACTATCATCTGATGATAAAGACACTTCTGTTTAGTGGCGAAGGTGAAAGGAAAGTCCTGCTAACCAATCGCCTAACTTAAATCGATGTGACTAATTTTCCCAACTTGATGAACGAAGTGTTAACCAAAGAAGACTGTATCAACCTATTAGTACGTTCCATTTTTACTAAAATCATGATGTGTACATCTGTATTGATTATGCACCAGATTTTGTACAAATTGAACAACTAACATATCGACTTGTATTTGCTTTACCCAAGCCTCGTATATCCAGTCAGACATTTATCATTTGAGGATAAAACAATATCAAATAGAAATGATAAAGACTGGTACTAGAGTGTAGACATTTCTTTACTTAGCTTAATACAGAATTTCCTTTTTTGATTGCAAAGTTGATTTCGTGGGAAAAGATGATAATGATAAATAAATAGATAAATAGATAGTACTGAACAACATGCGGGACGTCTGCCGAATGTTGTCTAAACAATAAACTTATCTATGACTGGGCAAAAAGATATATGATTTATGCCTTGTTTTTTCCTAAATGTAAAAAAGCAGGCAATAAAAAAGCAAAAAATAGCGTGATTGTTACGGGTTGTATATGAAACTCAATGATCGCTATTACTTTGTCAGTATTTCATGTACATATAAATCGTCATACTTAAGTATTATACATTACCGATAAGAATAATACCATTTCTGAAATGTGAGTAACAAAATATCACTTCTGCATTTCATATACACTGACTTTCTATACTAGCATAACTATGTCTTCTGCTTCATCTGCGACATCCGCAATGTTGACCAATCCAAGTAAACACAAGTAAACAAAGCCATGTTCTCCAATTAACAAACAAACTAACAAGCAAAAAACATCTTGTCCAATTCCCTGGGGAAGATAAATGTTTTGAATGAGTATCTGGTAAAATCAATAACATGAGTATGAAAGCACGATGAGGGTTATAGACAATTATTTCAACATTTTACAGGAGTTGTTCCCCTTTAAACCTGTTTTGTACGTAAATATAATTGCAATGAATCATGATCTGTACAATCTTGACCACTGGGATTTTGGGATATATAGGCTTCAGGTCTGCGTCCGATCTAATTGATACATTTATCAATACAACTCGTTCTGATTGATCTCCCAGAAATCATTATGACGATTATAATCGTGGTATAGGAAACAGGCCGTTGAATATAGAATCGGCTGGTAATGTATATACCTTGGGTTAGAGATACAGGTATATTAAATGTTAATAAGGAAAGTTAACTTTAACAACTGTGTTTCTGTTCCCTTTTGTCATCAGAGTATCCTGGCCCTCTACCCGGCAAATCAGAGTCACGATGAACATATGAAACATAATAAGACCAGATGGTCCGGAGGTGTAAGCGTCGTATGCTTCATATATGACATCCGCCATGTAAACCTTGGCCAGACCAAATAAGCGTCGCGTTATCAAATGAAAACAAAGTATACAACAACTGAACTGCCGGGCAAGTTAATTTGCATCGAATACGTCCAGCTTGATATCGCACAAAGAAATAGAATAGTTCTCAATGGCGACCATAAAGCTTACCGGTAATTTTCGTCAGCCTGCCTCTTTTGTAACCTGAGGTACGAGTTTGTCCGACATTTGACGACTTCATACACGCGAATCGTGATAATGGGAGCAGAACCTTGAATATCGAATCAACTACGACATGGAAACCCCATAGGTCGGGGATGCCGGGATATTGTTATCCAGAAATTGAAAATCCACAGTAGAGAAAAATCGAAATCATTACGTTTACTATAAAGATGGATGAAAAACTATTACATTGTATGTTGGTTTCGTTGTAGGAAAAGATTGAGATAAGCAACTGATGTAGAAGAGTCTGTCGTGTCTGATTCTCAATTCAGATGGGTATATACGATGGATGTGATCAAAGCATTCATTATTACTTAAAGCCCAGACGTCATCAACATATCTAAAAGTAAAATTAAAAGACTTGAACAGATTTCTGGTGTAAAATAGAGCTGAAGCTTTAAAGATCCACTCCTTTATCGTTCATAAATTTGCAAGTTGTTGGAGGATCGCGGCTATTTTTACGGACAGATTTTGACAAAATTTGTGCAACATTATAAATAATTTTATGAAGTATCCATGCTAATTTCCACAGGTCGCCAGAAGCAGTATAAGCTGAATCCACTTAAAGTTCTCGTGTCACGGAGAGAGGTAAGGAATATAAAGTAGTTCGAACACGATCGACACCTAATGGTTTCTGTAAAGGATCCATTAGATTTTCAAACCTGACTGTATTTCCGCTACACATTCTGAAATGCTTTCAAGAATTTCAATAGAAGATACCTAGAAGTGCGACGTTATAACTTGACTCATAGTACATTCTCCTTCGTCTGGGTAAATATTGCATGTTTTACAAAACAAACTATTTCTGGTAGTCTTATTCTGTGTCATGATTTCTGAAAAGGTATTTTCTAAAGCTGGGAATCTGGAAAGATTCATCCCGTACTTCTGAAGAAATGGCGATAACAAGCTTCTCCCATAATCAAAATCAAAGACGACCGCCTGTCAGTCATTTTTTCTGTTTAATTTCAAAATCAATCGGGAAAAACTAGGGACCAAGGGAAACATACACATGAAATTTGAGAAAGATCTATCTTGTAATCTTTCGTCTGTCGGCCTATTTATTACAGCAGTCACATCATCAGACAATGAGCATCAAGGTAACAAAAGAAATCTCCATTTGAAATTAAGATTGACCAATCCATTGCTTTTCAAGAAATAGCGATAAATGACTATCATTGTCAAAATCGTAGACCGCCTGTCGGCCATTTTGTTGGGGATTTTTATCTGTCCTGAAATGGGCAATACAAAACTAGGGTTAAAGGAAAACATACAAATGAAATTTGAAAATGGTCCACCCATTCAAGAAATAACGATAACAAGAATGCTTTTAAGGACAGACGAACGACGGAGAAGGGGCGAATTGAAAGGAAAATGTTTTATCTCTGTGTACAAAATGAAGGTGGTTGGGTTTCATATCTGTTTGTTCCTTTGGATGGCACAGAGACGTAAATATTGATTTTACATGTCTACAATCGATCTGTCAAAACTGCTGTAAGATCATCATAACTTCAAAGGATCTACTTTTCCCGACAAATCCTCCCCATTAGAAACAAACTGCGTACATTGATTTTTTGGAACGGTTCAAAAGCGTAAATCTTATTATCATCATCAGTTCATATAAAAACTAACCTGCTATCAATGTTCATAATCAATTTAGTTTAAGTCTATTGCTTTATATAGAGTAGAGGCCAATTTGCCGGAATCTTCAAGTTATTAATGTATAATGTTACTTCGGTCGTAACATTTTGTCATTTTGTAATACTTATATTTGAAAATCTTCGAAACGTTGACTCCACAATCCGACCGATCTGTTCTTATATACGTATAAAAACAACTTTTGTTGAAACTGACCTTGAATAACGACTCCGACAAAAAGTGTTGCTGGTGCCTGCTGATTAAGTTTGATATAAGATTCTTTATTTCAGTCGTTAAAAAGTTGTCTATACTTCGAAAGCCTAGGAAAATAATGACAATTTAACACTTCACAGAAACGAATACACGAAAGTAAGTTGTCAATGGGGTTTTTTTTTTTTATTGAAATCGTTGAAGACATACACAAATATTATTAGTTTTGAAAAGACACTTTTTATCCGCATAGTTTCTTCGCAAGCGAAAAGACAACGCTCAACTCTACAACAAAAAATTGCCATTCATACAGAGGAATCAAGTGTAGTGTCTTCGTTGATAAATTCTTGCAAATGTTCCGGAATTTTTGGATATTCCTTTTTGAAGCTAGCACTTAATTCATTAAATCCGTCCGTGTTAACTGAGGTTCGAACCAGTGAACCTTCAAGACTCTGGAATCGTGGATCTTCTATAGTCTTGTCATAGAACTTGTACAGTGGTACTATATCAGAAAACACCCCTTCGTTGTCGATGGTGTGAAATATCTGAGTTACGCCACTAGCGTTTTTAAGTTTAAAAACAACATGTGGGCAATTGTTCTCATTTGAAGAAATTTCCAAGTCAGGCAACTTCAAAGTTTCTAGATCAGCGGAGGTAACACTGCGATGACCTCCCATTGAACTCACTGTTCTTTTAGACAACTGGCTTGTTAACCGAGTCAATATCTCCTGTTTCTTATTGGGGTGGTCAATGTCGGGTAACACAACCCCGACTTGCTGTAAATGGTGTTGTCGCTTCTGTTGACGTAACATGAACGACCGCTTGTGAAGGTCTAGAAGGCGTGTAGTTCGAGTCCTTTCAAGCTTTATATGGGAGAGCTTGACGTCTAGCATTTGTTGCTGGGTAATATTGTCGTAAAGGAGGACACGTGACACCTTGGTCTTTGGAAGAAGACTTCGCCGTTTATTGCCATAATTTGGCATGATACGTGGCGGACCATGCATGTAAGATAAACTCACGCTACCTTTCCCAGCTGGTTGATGATCACCGGAATCTAATCTAGGTGCCGCCATGTTGTCTGTCCGATTGCCATGAATACCAGGCATTGTAGTTGACTCGGGTTCCATATTTACATATCATCAGTAAAAACGCAATTTGTTATTCTGAAATAAAAAGAAAGAGACAATGAAAACACGTATTTCTAGCATAAACTTAATCAGAGGATAATACAATAAAAGAAATGTATTCCTGTATAAAATACAAAAAAATGCAAGATATCCAACCTGATGTCTCTTTGCTTTTGCAGTAAGATCAACGTCCATTTTGATTGCTTTCAAGATAGTATTATATGGTTTATATTGTTTTAATTGAACCCTAGATAATCAACGATATTATGGCCATGTGACTTTGTGATTCAGTGACATCTCAAAAACGAATGTTGACAAGTAGTATTAGAATTATTTGCCGATAAAGAGAAGATATAAACATTAAGAAAGGAATACTAATATATATTTACAAACACACTTATCAACGAGAGGTGATCTTGGTCAAGTTTTGATTGATTTAATCGATGGTGTCTAGAACATGAAAACAAATATATTAAATTGGAAGTATGTTTAAGTTAAACATTCCTCTGGGATTCGTTCTGTTATTGAAGTGAACAGGAGAGAACAATATTAATTGTCTGTTTACTTCAGATTGTTGGGCTTGTGCTTATTGTACGATGTAAGCAAGCATGTTAACTACTTATCAGAAATAGTGCCTTTCATTGTTTGCTTTCTCCGGTCTCATAGTTAGCAGACATAGCTAATATTGAACAGTATTGTTCTTTAATTATGATTTGATAGGGAAGACACAGATAGTGTTCAACAATATTGTTCCCGTGGTTATAAATTAATAGGTAGACACATGTAGTATTGAACAATATAGTCTCCCTGGTATAAATTGACAGGAGGACACAGATAATGTTGAACAATATCGTCTCCCTGGTCATAAATTGATAGGACACAGATAATATTGAACAATATTGTCTCCCTGGTTATAAATTGATAGGACACAGATAATGTTGGGTAAGATTGTCTCCCTGGTTATAAATTGATAGGAGGACACAGATAACGTTGGGTAAGAGTGTCTCCCTGGTTATAAATTGATAGGACACAGATAATGTTGGGTAAGATTGTCTCCATGGTTATGAATTGATAGGAGGACGCAGATAATGTTAGGTAAGATTGTCTCCCTGGTTATAAATTGATATGAGGACACAGATAATGTTGAGTAATATTATCTCCCTGGTTATAAATTGATAGGACACAGACAATGTTGGGTAAGATTGTCTCCATGTTTATGAATTGATAGGACACAGATAACATTGGGTAAGATTGTCTCCCTGGTTATAACTTTATATGAGGACACAGATAATGTTGAGTAATATTGCTTACTGGTTATGAATTGATAGGACACAGATAATGTTGGATAAGATTGTCTCCATGGTTATGAATTGATAGGAGGACACAGATAACGTAGGGTAAGATTGTCTCCCTGGTTATAAATTGATATGAGGACACAGATAACGTTGGGTAAGATTGATAACCTAAACATAAATTGATAGAACACAGTGTTACGATATGGTTCCCTGGTAGAGAAAGACTTGGTACAAAATTTGAATTAATCATTTTTTATATGAATTAATCAATAAAAAAAGACTAAATAAAGTTCCATTGATGGTGTTATTCGGTGGAAATCTGATGTAGAAGACACAAACTGTGTGTCTTAGATATTGCTTGCAGTTTTATAAGATTTCCGGTATTTCAATTCACTATATTCATGTAACGAATTAGGGTTGTATTCCAAATTTTGAGTGCTGATAAATATAATGAAGAAGTTACAATGGTCATGATTGATAGATTGTGTTATATTTTATATATATTCTATTTCCCGGTCAGTTTATCATGAAAAGATAAAGAACACAAAAATTGTCGCCATTGTGCTCTCTACAAAACCTCAAAATACATAACAACATCAAATTTGTGTTCACTATTTGAATAGGAAAAGAAATAGAAGGTATTATCAGTGATAAAGTTATAATCATAATATACATACCAGTGTGTAACGTGTAAACAACATATATCCTCATATTTACATTAAACAATAAAACCAAGAAGATTGTAGGAAGCTTACCTCAAAAGGTCATCCTCGTCTAATAAATCCAGAATACCTGTGAATGAGAGAAAGGAAGGTGTCAATATTAGCTATAGAGTTGTTTGGTTTCTTATATATATACAGTCCTAACATGACACCCATGCATTAATGTCAGAATTACAACGCATCCTGAAACCATTATCGCTAAAAACGACACTACGCCTTGTCAACAGCACACACGTCAACAGACATAGCTGGATATCAGTTCTTTAAGTCCTGCATAAAATTCATATTAAGTCAATCAGATATTTGTTATGTGTGTTATATCTCTGTTAAATATGTATCCATTTGAATAATTTTTCAACACAAGATATTGTTTAATGACGCAAACTTTAAGTTATGAGAAGCTGCCAGTGGCTGGTTCAACACACAATCCGCTAGACTGACAATCTCTCTATACACCTATCTGCCGTTAATAATGTCTCGCTTCAACTGACATATCACAATGCTTCTTTTCATTCTTAACCAATAGAAAAGTCTATCCTATACGGAATACCATTTCACTTAATCAAACTTACTTGATCAGGTATCGACAATCAATGGATTTATATAATACATACACATAACTCACAGGCCATGTTTACTTTACACTACTTAAGATATTCCCTACTGATAAAAGACGTAAAATATCTTATGAAGTTGTTGATGTTTGTCAACGACATGAATTTTAACAAGATTTCTCTAAAGAGGTAATGCGTATGTAGATTTCATGATCAAAAAAGGTAACTTTTTCAAGATTAGATGGTTAAAGAAATATTCAAATAAAAAAAATTAAAATTTCAACATTGATAAGTACCCTGTGAGTGAGACGGTAAATAAACAAGCTACATTTAACAACATAAAACTGTGACAAAACATGTTTTCTAAAGCGAGATCGTTTCGGCTCCATCACAAAATAAACATGAATAGTGTTTCACTCAAGTCCATATTTTCATGCTGGGAAACAACGCTGAACCTGTATTTTTTTCAGTAATGAGGTACGCGGGTATTGAAAATGCTGTCTCTATTTCTTCTTCTTGGGATCAAATATTTGCATTTTTATTGGAATCTTGAAACAGAACGGATGTTTTTTAAACGTTACAAGCGACAGTCATGTACATATAAATGACTAGAAATGACTCATTATTTCTCTTCAAGTTATATATTTCCCAGCGTTTTTATAACATCGACCGAGCGAAAATAACAGTATGTACAAAATCTGTATATAAAAAAAATTCAGTAAACAGATCCATAAGTTTGCAATCTTTTTATCTTTTACGTTATTGACAGGTTGAGCATGATTTCGTGATATTTTACAGAGAATCAGATTTAAACATATAGACGTAAATTAGCATTTCGTTAGTCATAAGAGGCACTAGGATACATAGAAAATCATTAATGATTTCTTTAGACTCTCTCTCAGACATGAAATTCATGATGGATTTTCCGTGTTCATATCCATACAGAGTAATTATCATAAGTGTTAAATTGTTCACACTATGCTTCAAATGAAATCGCGCTTTCTTTGCCTAACGATGGCATTTACTGAGTACAATTCAAACATGGCTTATATAAAGCAATATGGCTCTGAACACAACAGACTTTTAAGTGAGATCAAGTGCATTTATATACTACTTGATTTCTAACCAACTAAACTAACAAAACAAAACTCATTGAAATACCCGTGGTGAAGTTAATGGTTTGATGGCCAATTCGGTGGTAATCTGTCTTTCTCCTTTAAATTGGTTTGCTCATGTTAGCACGAGCAACATGTATTATCGATACAATAATAGATAAGTGTCCGAGGCTTCTTTAAATGCATGGAGTGTAAATAGATTTCAATATATGCAATGCGCGTTGTTCGCTTTGTCACTTTATGTTACACCTAATAACAATAACTTGTTCAAATTGACTTCACTTCTCTACAGACAACTCAGGAGATATTGAACTTGAATAATACAACTAAATTGATATCAAAGGTGCTTTTAAAATTTCATTTCGTTGTAGGTTTAACGAAAGATAAAGAGCATAACGCCATCATTATGTTTTATAATCAAGATTTGTAAACTTGCTTGAATATTTATATTTTTTATTTATTTTTTGTTAAACGGGGATATTCATCTATCATGGTAGTGAATGACATTACACATAGGTTTGTAATTAAATAGCGAAGGTAATTCTTGTTTAAATGTGCCGCATGTATGTTCTATTGTTGATTTACTGCTCCTTTGGTACGACTTTTCTTTTCAGCTGCCAACAAAGTGAAATCTCGTTGTTGGGATCCTATAGAATATATAAGTATAATATATGGCACGTATTTACCTCCCCGAATCATAGATGTTTAATGGGACTTTGGAATGATAAAATACTTCTAGAATTACATCATTTAACGTCAGCGTTTTAAAATATATTTGGGAGAAGTACAGATGTTACCGGCTTGCACCATGGATATAACATTTGAATACATCTACTAAATCTTTGGAAAGAAAAAATGTTTACGTGTATATAAAGGATATGCATTTTACAGCTGTATAAACGTTTTATAAAACGATCTCAAGCTACTGCAAAATTATGCATTTCGTGGGACTTATCCCTCTATAAATAAATCTAAAAAGTCTTAATAAGTCTATTTGCATTTATTTAGATAGTTCAAGAAATCTGTGAAAATATATGTCGCACAAAAAAAGAATGATTTTTACCTAACTCCATAAATAAATTGGTGTTTGTTCTGGTGTAATAAGATAATAAAATGTATCTTGCAGTTATACAGGCATAAAAAATAGGAGTAATCATGACTTAATCTGTCATTGCTGTGTTTGTAATCAGTAGTGACGTGAGAATTGGTTACAAAAGCATGTACAGACGTAAGTATAATAAAGAATTTATCAAATATTTTATAAATTATTCCTAACCATAGGAAGTTATACACCTTTCTCCGAGAAAACAAAGT